TAATAAGGCTTTACAAGAAAAAGATCAGTAATGAATTAAATATATATATATATATATATATAACGGTAATAAATATGCTCGAGCATGTTAAAAATTATCGGTTGTCTACCTATTGGTATGTTCAAAATTTTTCAAGACAATTTCCCAAAGGGAAAATGATAACTCCACATATGCGACATCTTTTCTCTTAAGAAAGAGAAAGAGAAAGAGAAAGAGAAAGGAAATGCAGGGAGCAATAAATAGTAAAAAGCCATAGGATTTTTTTTTTTTTGGTTGCAACTTTATATAGCCAGCTAAAGCACAATCTATCAAATTTGTGTGTCTTTTTTCTTCCCGATGAGTGAATTTATATAACATGGATAAACTATAGTCTCATTTATTTTATTAATTTGAGTTTAAAATTTAAGTTTTATTACAGTAAAAAGTTTTCAAAAATAATCACATATAATTTTTTTGTTATAGTAAAAAGCTCTCACATAAAGTTACATATAAACTTGAATTAAAAATTCGAATTAACAAACTAAACAGGCTCATTTATCTAACTTCATCAGAGAAAATATAAGAGAATTTTTTTAATTGGATATTGACTAGATATTGCACTGCTTTAGACCATGGGTTTGAATCAAAATTTCTAAATTCTACATTTTTTTTATTTCGATATGATTTTGACCTGTGATATATAAACAAACATATGATAAATTACAAAATTAATCAAATAATTCAAATTAATTAGTACGAGAACTTGACAGAAAATTTGGCATCCAATTATGTGTCCACATTAGGGCTAATAATTCAGTAGCAACATGACGACACAAATCGAAATCCCCACAAAGTTAATGGGTTTGGATTTATTATAAATGAATTTGGGTCATAGTCGTATTGATACGATTAACACGATTAATAAATAAGTTGAGTTAGGGTTGACCTCCTAACACGAAGTGATATGAATTGACACGATTAATTATATGTGTCATCTACAATCTAATGATATGTGATATAACATGAAAGTTTATACGACATATTAAATACAAATAATGTGAATTTTAATATTTGTAGGTAAAATTCATTTATTTTTCTTAAAGAAAAAGATAAATTGACCAATAAACATGTTAAACATTTCTTAAACATGTTAAATAAGTCATTATTATTAGTTATTTATTTAATGCATTAATTTAAACAGGCTATATGGATTCACACGATTAACACGATTAATAAATAAATTATATTTAGATTGATATTTTTAATACGTTTAATAAACAAATTATATTTAAATTAATTTATCTAATACGATTAATAAATAGATTGACACAAACACGACTCGTGAATTTTCATCCTTAATATAGATTTTTTAAGCAAATTCTATGACAGTACTATTCATTTTATTCATCGTGATGGTCTTATTACTCACATAGGGTGGTTCCCACCCTGTGGGTCTCACATGGGGCCCAACCTCTATGACTAATGGGATCGTGGCTATGTCAACACCAAAAAAGTTTCTCGAACTTCTACGCATAGGGTACTACTAAGAATTTACCTGCTACATGATAGATAATATTATTATTAGTTTTAAGCGGTCTAATTTATTAATGCAAGCAGCTCTGTATCGAATGCAGCAAATTTTTATCATGAACAATTTTAAAATTTATTTAGTTTATTGATTTAAATTTTTAATTCGAGTTAAAATGTAATTTTATATGAGAGTTTTTTACTGTAATAAAAAAATTAAATATAATTATTTTTGATATTTTTTTATTATATCAAAACTCAAATTTTAAATTTGAATCGATAAAATAAATGGGACCTTAAATTATACTGTTAAAAACTAATTTTAAAAATGATAGAGAAATTATCAAATATAATTAGAAGGTATAATTTAGGCATATGAACATGTATATTGCAACATATCATATTTCACTCTTATAAAATGTTTATATTTAACATTTTGTGGCGGTGACGATCCTTCGTCAGACTTGTAAAGGGAAATAAAGTAATTGCAGACTGGATAACGATTGTACTAATTAGCTTTCGGATGGAGCAGAAAACACCCACCCACCAAGCATGCAATTTCGTCACGACATTAACACCAAAAACCGCGTCCCATCACCCATGCACTGGTTATGCTCAGATAATGCGATATATATATATATATACATACTTATATATATATTCCTCATAATAATAATAATAATAATAATAATAATGCCAAACAACAACTTGCCACAGCAGAGGATAGAGGTGTTTAAAAAATATGTTAAATCATGAAAATCGTCTAATCTAAATCAGATCGAATTAAATAGTTAATTTTTTTTTATTATTAGGCAGTTTAATTGATTTTATAATCTAATTTTTTGAGCGGTTTGGATATTATATTTATTATTTTCTTATTGTTAAACTTACGTACTTTTAAAGTGCATAAATTTAAATTTTTATTTTTTATCTTAATTAATTATTTTTTAACTAATAACTATTTAATTAAAAAGAGTAAATAAAAATAATAGATAAAAATTTAAACATATTTATCTCATTTCTCTTATTTCTTTTTTGATACACGTAGTTTTGTCTTGTAACGCTCAAAGTTGTTGTAGATAAAGTGCAATCTTTTGGAGGCTAAGCCGGTGCTAGCATGCTGTCGGTAACACAGCAGGGACACTGCAAAAAAGTGCGTATTTCATACAAGCTTTTGACTTTGTCTACCTTTACAGCTATGATTCCACTTTCTTGCAAGCCGAACATTATCTCGCTGAGAGGCATTAATTATGTACTTGTTTCCGGTGTTAATAAAAGTTGAGAAAGAATTTGAATTTTATCTAGTAAATCCGAGTGATTATGCAGTGATTATTTAGAGTTTATTTTTTTAGAGTTTAACTTGAGTATAATTTTTAAGTTAAATTTGAGTTATAACTTGAATTGAACTTGTAATTTGAGTTTGTGTTTAGTTGTGTACATTTGAGTTATGGTTTGAGATAATAATCTTTTTGAGTTTGTATTTGAGTGAGTCAAAACTTGAATTTGTATTTAGATAGTATTTTAATAAAAACTCAATGCTGATGAAAAATTTTAATAGGGTATATAGGTCGGGTTTTATTCGTCTTTTCGTTGTCAACGCATAGAAAAAAAAATCATCTCAATCAGAATTAAAACGAAAAAGTTATAACATTTTTAAGAATAGAAAAAATAGTATTCATTAATTTGAATTCGAGTTTCTGAACTCAAGTTGAATGAGAAACTTAAACTCGAGTTTTAGTCCTAAACTCGAGTTTGAACTCGAGTTTAGACTTAAAAGAACATGAACTCGAATAAAGTTGTAATTTGAGTTACCTTTTTTTTAGTTTTTCACTCAAAAGAATAAGCCCTTAGTATGCTTAAGTCCCATTTATTTTATTAATTTAAGTTTAAAATTTGAATTTTATTATATAAAAAATTCTTGAAAATAATCACATTAAACTTTTTTGTTACAGTAAAAAATTTTCACATAAAATCACATCTAAATTCGAATTAATAAACTAAACATGCCCTTAGACGATAGACGATAATTTATTCTTTTGGAGTAAATTACATTATTGCATTTTAAATTATATTTTTTTAATAACATACCTCAAATTTTTAATTTTAACAAATTACATTATGAATTTTGAAATCATTAACAATTAAAGTCTAATAGTTAATAGACATTATCAAATTGACAGTTCAGACCATGAGATTCGCATGTGATTTTATTTAAAATATAACAAGCTTTGCTTTTTAGTGAAAATATTGTGTTTCACTGTTTTGTTTCATAAAGGCCATTAACTATTGAATCTCAATTGTTACTGATTTTATGATTTTAAAATTTAACATACAATTTGGTAAAATTAAAAATTTATAGTGTATAATGCAAAACATAAAAATTTTAAAGTGCAACAATGTAATTTATTTTTTATAACATTTTTCTTTGACTTAAATAAAAATTCTAAAAGATTTCCGATCCTGCACATGTTTTCTACTTTTATAATTGATCTTATCCATATTCCATTGGGTTGCTAAGAATAAAAAATTGAAGAGCAGTGAGATATAGTGGGGGTTTTTTTTTTTCTTGAGGATGATATAGTGTAAAATTATCAAAATCAAATTAAAACTAATTAAGGATTAAGAGATCACAGATATTTCACAGCTCACTTGCTCAAACTGTGTGATCAAAAGATCTGACTCTTAGTGGCGGTGTTATGGTCCTTCTTTGGGAGTTGCTCAAATCGTTAAATCTCTCTCTATGTATAACGAATATTAATGGTTATATTTTTATAGGTAGTTATTATTAAATATAAAAATTTTATGACGTGATTTGAAAAAAATTTAAATTCATTAATTATCATATTTTTAAGTTAATTATCTAGTTTATTAAAACTATTATTTCAATAACTTACCGTTAAAATACCAATTCTTATCGATTGAAAAATAATTGAGTAATCATTAAAATCAATACAATGTTAAAACCACAAATTTACTCGAGAATCATATGCTTAAGCATGAAAAATATGCTATTAATATTTAAAGCATACAATTTAAACTGTAAGATCTTTATCAAAATAAACTATTATGTTTTTCTCAATCTTAACTTATGATATAATCTAACAATTACTAGAGAGATATTTTTTTTTCATATCATATCACAAAATTCTCTAATATTTCCAAAAATAATAATAAAAAAAATCCAGCTTTGAGATGGAATTTTTCGAAACATGAGCAGAAAGAGCCCCCCCACCAACCAACCATGCAATTTCGCCACGACATTGATACCAAAAACGCGTCTCATGCCCTGGCTATGCTTAGATATTGCAATTTTGGCAGTCAATTAAATTAAATTAAATTAATAGCTATCATGTTTTGCTTTCATTGGCCCAAAACAACTGGCCACAGCTTGAGGACCTGACTGAGCCTTCCCTGGTTACTTCTTCATTTGCTTTTCGTACGGACCCAAAACATAATAAGCCACCTTAATTCTATAAATACAACCTCATTTCGTAATCCATTATCCATCAATCAATCTTCTCATATTTTTCTCTCTGATTCCTATCACTTCTTTGCTAGACAGAAGAAAAAAAAAAACTACATCCATGGCTTCTCTTTCTTTCTCAAACTCCGTCTTATTTGTGCTTTGTATTTTTGCTATCGCTTTCTCCGAGGCCAATTTGAACAAAGATTTTCAGATTACTTGGGGCGACGGCCGGGCTAAGATACTCAACAATGGCGAGCTTCTGACTCTGTCTCTCGACAAAGCCTCCGGCTCCGGATTTCAGTCTAAGAATGAGTATTTGTTCGGCCAGATTGATATGCAGCTCAAGCTTGTCCCTGGCAATTCAGCTGGCACTGTAACTGCATATTATGTAAGTTCTCTTAACTTTATCTATAGTATGGTAAGATCGTTGATTTGAGTTTAAATGAGATATTATGTCTAAAAAAATTAAATATAATTATTTTTAAAATAATTTTTATTGTAATAAAATTTAAATTATAAATTTAAATAAGTGAAATGGAGTTTCTTATTTTTTTTAGGTTAAATAAGTTAATAATTAGCATTCTTTTTAAGGTTAAATAAGTTAATAATTAACATTCTTGTTATGTATGAACTGTTTTGCAGTTGTCATCAAAAGGGTCGACATGGGATGAGATTGACTTCGAGTTCTTGGGTAACCTGAGCGGTGACCCTTACATTATTCACACTAATGTCTTCAGTCAAGGCAAAGGCAACAGAGAACAACAATTCTATTTATGGTTTGACCCAACTGCTGATTTTCACACATATTCTGTCCTTTGGAATCCTCAACAAATTGTGTAAGTGCCCATTAACAGATTTTTTTTTTTTCTTTTCAAATTTGCATTCTCAAAATCAAGTTTTTCCTACTGGGCTTTGTTCATAACCTTTGAAAAATTCTCTCTCCGTGTCAGTTTCTCTGTGGACGGTACACCAATCAGAAAGTTCAAGAATTTAGAATCAAAGGGGGTTCCATATCCAAAGAACCAACCAATGAGAATATATTCGAGTCTTTGGAATGCTGATGATTGGGCCACAAGAGGTGGTTTGGTCAAGACAGACTGGAGCCAAGCACCTTTCACTGCCTCATACAGAAACTTCAAGGCCAATGCTTGTGTTTTTTCCTCTGGAGCTTCTTCTTGTTCTTCGCATTCCGCTTCTTCTTCGACCTCCGGTGCGAATTCCTGGCTATCTCAGGAGTTGGATTCGGCCGGTGAAGAGAAGTTGAAATGGGTGCAGAAGAACTATATGATCTACAATTACTGCACAGATGCTAAGAGATTCCCACAAGGCACTCCTCAAGAATGCAAGATAGCCTAAAGATGAGAAGATACAAATTTTTTTTTATTGTGTTATTATTTTGGTGTACTGGTTGATTAGTTATTCTCTTTGTAATGTAATTTATTCTTTTATTCGTTCCAGAAATCTGTTTGAGAGTAATTATAATTAGTATGAACAATTTTTTTTGGACTTCGCTTAACTTCTAATATCGCTCTGCACTTCCAAGGAATGGTATTTTAAATAATAGTTAGCTTTTCATTATTCAAAGCAACTAAGGACTCATATGAAACTATTATAATATCAGTCTCAGTAACATTTAAGATTGATTATTAATCATATATATCATTCCATCGCATAGTTAATTAAATATATACATACGTATACATATATATATATATATATATATATCAAAAGAAAAGAAGTTCATTATATATAGAGGCATATTCATACACGACGTGTATTTATAGCTTTTGCGTATAATTCATTGAAATTACCAAAGATTAGTGTCGTCTTTACTATTCCATTATAATATCCTAACAAAAAAATAAATGTTCTATCAAAGTGACATTCTTTTGTTACTTTTGATAAACTATTTCTCCCTAAGGAAATTACCATCCTCAAGTTACTAAGGAATTTTTCGCCGAACAATTTTTTGAAATCCCATGCCAGTTTGGTAATTATAGGGTAAATTCATAATTTCCTCCTTATAATTTGGCATTTCATTTCAGACATTTTCGACTATCTATTTGTTTACTTGTACATACCGTTATTGATTTATTTTTATACATGGAGAGATCGAATTTGTCATTCTGTTCTACAATCTCGACTAAGAATGTTGAGATTGATTAGCAAATTTGGGATGGAGTCAAAATGGTAGTCAATCCTAAGGGATGTTACTTATTCCAAACGAGATTGATGAATGTTATTCAAAACGAGATTGATGGATGTTACTATGACAATCTGACGTGGCACCAGCAGAGGCAGAGTAATCCACAGAAGACTTGTCGTTTTATGTCCAGCCTTAAATCATTAAGGTCCCGTTTATTTTACCGATTTGAGTTTTACTACAATAAAAAAGTCTCAGATACAGCCATCTCTAATTTTGTTACGATAGTAAGCTCTCATATAAAGTCACATCTCAATTCGAATTAATTACTAAAATCAGCGAACTAAACGGGTCATAAATAACTTGTCGTTTGATCTATTAAAGCGTTTTCTCATTTGTGTTGTAAAATTTTTCTTTATAGTTTTTGTCGTTTATTTCCTTTTGAGGCAGCTGCCCTCAAATCAGCTGTCGAATTTTAGGGCCCGTTTAGTTCGCTGATTCGAGTTTTTAATTCGAGTTGATATGTGATTTTATGTGAGAGCTTTTTACTGTAGCAAAAAAGTTAGATGTGATTATTTGTGAGAGCTTTTTACTGTAGTAAAACTCGAATTCTAAACTCGAATCAGCGAAATGAACGGGGCCTTAATGTTTATCAGAACATAACACGCAATTGAAAATTGTTAAAAGTGGCTTTTAATTACCTTTATTTGCTTTAACGTTCATATAATAATGACGCGGTGAAATAATCGTTAGACATCAATTAGAATATTAAGAGCCTGTTTGGTTCATAAATTTGAATAATGAGATTATAATTATTTTCAATTTACATGTATTTTTTGTAAGAGAAAATACTGTAACGAATCATGAACCATAATTCGAATCAGAGAACGAATCCTTCAACCAAACGGGCTCTAAATATTAGACAAGTGAAAATTGGACAAGTAATTTTAATATGGTATGTAAAGTTAATGAGACGGAACTACTATAAGCTTTTGTGTTATTTTTTCTTCACTTGAGGCTGAAATCAGATCTCTCTTTAAGGCAGCAACTTCTTATGACTTTCTGGAGAAGTTTCTTCAAAAGACATTCTTAACTATTTACGTCACTATCCTAGGATACTACTGGAGTTGGCGCAGATAGATACAAAAATTGGATCTAGTTTTATTGCTTTGCTTTCTTTTCCTTTTTTTCTCTTTGATATTAGTTAATCTACTTTTGTTCATGTGGCACATGAGTAAATATCAATAAGATCTATTTTGGTCACAGTTGGGTTATATCTCTTATGTTCTTGTAACTTTTTACATATTGTCTCGGGATCCATATTAGATAAATAAACAATTTTTTTGTTTAAAAAGAAGAGATAATATACTGTATCAAACTTATTTGACGAATATTTGAAGTACGACTAATGCTAAAAACCACAACTAATAATAAAAGATGTATGTCGTATGTTATTGGAGCCATTTTTATTAGTGTGTGGTGCCTAACAACACCAGCACCTCTTAAATTGTTCAACTTATTTACCGATGTTATATGTGATCCTTATAGATTGTAAACCTTTTCACTATGGACAAAATGTGGTACATGATGTGAGTGAGTACTTGTTATCCAACTACCAAAGGAATCCTAAGCACCAATAACAGTAATGTGTTTTTCTTAAGACCTGAAAATCTCTCATCATTATTCTTGTGAATTGCTTTAATCTTTATAAACTACTTGCATAGCAACATGTGATATTTTTTACTTCCTTCTGATCGGGCTGTTTGGATAAATAGACTAAGTAAAAAGTGTTTTTAAGTAAATAAACCACAAAAAAATAAATTGGATAAATAGGCAAACTTCCACATCAGTTATTCCACGTCATCAATTATGCTTTTAGGGGTTTCTTTCTCCTCATTCTCTTCCATTTCGTGCCATTTTCTTCTCCCAGCCGCCTTCCATTTCTTCTCTCTTCTTCTCAAGTCATCGTCATCGCACAACCTCATTAACATTATTATCTTGCCCATTCAGCATTTTTTTCTCATCCAAAATGAAGTTTGAAGAAGAGCTACTAAGTAAGTCTTTCTTTTTCTATATCTCTCATGGTGTTTTTCGTTGTTGTTCATATGTTTTTAAGATGAGAATGTAGTTAAAAATGTTAAAAATCCATTAAAATAGTAATTTTACATGGTAAAAGACTAGTTTATATTGTCTGATATGATGAAGATTTACTGGGTTTAGAAAAAACTGGTTTGTTCTTGGTCGGTTCGTGGTCGGTTCTTGGTCTGTTCTTATAACATGGTTGGTTCGTGGTATGTTCTTATAACATGGTCGGTTCTTTGTCTGTTCTTGTTCTGTTCTTGGTCTGTTCTTATACATGGTCGGTTCGTGGTCTATTCTTGGTCTGTTCTTGGTCAGTACTTATTACATAGTCTGTTCTTGGTATGTTCTTATTACATAGGCGGTTCATGGTCTGTTCTTGGTCTAAGGTTTGTTCTTGGTCGGTTCTTGGTCTCTTCTTATAACATGGTCGGTTCGTGGTCTGTTCTTGGTCTGTTGTTATAACATGGTTGGTTCTTGGTATGTTCTTGATTTGTTCTTGGTATGTTCTTATACATGGTCGGTTCGTGGTCTGTTCTTAGCCGGTTCTTGGTCTGTTCTTAGCCGGTTCTTGGTCTGTTCTCACTACATGGTCGGTTCTTGGTCTATTCTTGGTCGGTTCTTGGTCTGTTCTCACTACATTGTCGGTTCGTGGTCTGTTCTTGGTCAGTTCTTGGTTTGTTCTCACTACATGGTCGGTTCTTAGTCTGTTCTTGGTCAGTTCTTATTACATAGTCGATTTGTGGTCTGTTCTTGGTCTGTTCTTATTACATAGGCGGTTTGTGGTCTGTTCTTGGTCTGTTCTTATTGCACGGTCGGTTCTTAGTTTGTTCTTGGTCTGTTCTTAGTCTGTTCTTAGTCTGTTCTTATTGCACGGTCAGTTTTTAGTCTGTTCTTATTGCACAGTCGGTTCTTGGTTTATTCTTGGTATGTTCTTGGTTTGTTCTTATTATATGGTATGTTCTTGGTCTGTTCTTATTATATGGTCTGTTCTTGGTCTGTTCGTGGGATATTTGATTTGGTTTAATGACATATTATTATCTTGATTAAATTTTTGCAGTTTTAAAATCTAAATAATGCCTCAGTGGAGGATTTTTTTTGACATTGGAGGAAAATGGGTGGAGAATGAAAGTTGTTGGGTGTGGCATATAGACTGTAATTTAATTGGCATATATATGGATGAGAAGAATACTCTCGAAACCTTCGTTGATAAGATTTGTAGAAAATGTGCAACTTATGGACAAAAACATTCCTTGCAGTTATCGTAGGTACCGAATTTGAAACAGAAATTGTTACCCGTTGTAATCGAAGACAATGATGATTTGTTATTTTTCAGGGATATAGCTCACGAGGTACCGCTACACGTGATAGTGGATGAGAAGTTTATGAATCCATAAGAACATATTGATGGAGTCAAAATTAGGAGAAATCCTGTGCATGACGATTTTTTTTATCGTGATTTTATGGGTATTGTAGCTACAGATGAGTTTTCAACTCGTAATGATATTCCACCATAGTCGCAACCACAATCAGAGTCACAGCCACAGTTAGAGCCACAACAGCCGCAGCTAGAGCCACAACTAGAGTCACAACCACAGCTAGAGCCACAACCACTTGCCATTTTAAATGAAGTAGAAGTTGCTGGTCCTTTAGTTTGTATCGACCAGACTGAGTTTGGATCATCTCATGGATCTACCTTCATTGACGGATCTAGTTTAGAAGTTGGTCAGTACTTTACAAGTAAGAATGATTTGAAGGAAAAACTGCATTTAATAGCTTTAAAGGGACAGTTTGAGTTTCGAACAACAAAATCAAATAAAGACGTGCTTGTAGTAGAGTGTGTGGATCCGAAATGTGTGTGGTGTATCCGAGTCTGCAAACTGAGACTATCGAACATGTTTGTAATCCGCAAGTATAATGGTGTTCACTCTTGCTCGTTAGAAAAGCGTTCGGCGAAGCACAGGCAAGCAACGTACTCCGTTATTGGAAGTTATATGAAAAACTAATTTATAGGCATCAAACAGGGTCCGGTTCCCAAATCAATTCAGAAATATGCCCGTGACGAATTCAGGACAGACTTCAGTTATTACAAAGGATGGAAGGCTCGTGAGCACGCACTTCAACTTGTAAGAGGTATGGCTGAAGAAAGCTTCACTAAGCTCCCATCATACTTTCATATGGTGTCTCTTACTAATCATGACAATATCACCAATATTCATTTTGATGACCATAACTGTTTTATCTATCTTTTTCTAGCATATGGACCTTGTATACGAGGTTTTCGTTG